TTTCACGCACAACCATCTCTAGGGTTTACAGAGAATGGTCCGAAAAAGAAAAAACATCCAGTGAGCGGCAGTTCTGTGGGCGGAAATGCCTTGTTGATGCTAGAGGTCAGAGGAGAATGGCCAGACTGGTTCGAGCTGATAGAAGGGCAACAGTGACTGAAATAACCACTCGTTACAACCGAGGTATGCAGCAAAGCATTTGTGAAGCCACAACACGCACAACCTTGAGGCGGATGGGCTACAACAGCAGAAGACTCCACCGGGTACCACTCATCTCCATTACAAATAGGAAAAAGAGGCTACAATTTGCAAGAGCTCACCAAAATTGAACAGTTGAAGACTGGAAAAATGTTGCCTGGTCTGATGAGTCTCGATTTCTGTTGAGACATTCAGATGTTAGAGTCAGAATTTGGCGTAAACAGAATGAGAACATGGAACCATCATGCCTTGTTACCACTGTGCAGGCTGGTGGTGGTGGTGTAATGGTGTGGGGGATGTTTTCCTGGCACACTTTAGGCCCCTTAGTGCCAATTGGGCATCGTATAAATGCCACGGCCTACCTGAGCATTGTTTCTGACCATGTCCATCCCTTTATGGCCACTATGTACCCATCCTCTGATGGCTACTTCCACCATGTCACAAAGCTCTAATCATTTCAAATTGGTTTCTTGAACATGACAATGAGTTCACTGTACTAAAATGGCCTCCACAGTCACCAGATCTCAACCCAATAGAGCATCTTTGGGATGTGGTGGAACGGGAGATTCGCATCATGGATGTGCAGCCGACAAATCTGCGGCAACTGTGTGATGCCATCATGTCAATATGGACCAAACTCCCTGAGGAATGCTTCCAGCACCTTGTTGAATCTATGCCACGAAGAATTGAGGCAGTTCTGAAGGCAAAAGGGGGTCCAACCCGTTACTAGCATGGGGTACCTAATAAAGTGGCCGGTGAGTGTATATAAATACACACACATGCATGTATATTTAAGAAAAATATATAATTTATATATAAAATATTTATATTTATATATAATATAAATTATATATAAATCTATATACAGTATATACATGAAAATATTTCTTAAATATATACAAGCATGTGTGTGTATTTATATATATATACAAAATAATTATACACAATGCACCCACATATATTATGTAAAAAAAACTTTTATTTTGGATGTGCTTAATCACGATTAATCATTTGACAGCCCTAATATATATATATATTATTTTGAGAGCTGGATTGCTCGCTGCGAGACTATGATTGCTGGAATTTTCTGTATAGCATCATGGGTAATGTAGTTTTTCACCACAAATTAAGTTGTTAAACATGATTATTTAAATTAAAAAAATAAGTTGAAAATGCGGACTGACAGCTTCGACAAAACCATATACCATCAATTAATTCAGAGCGCACAACAGGTCTGCGTTTAAAAGGTTTAGAAGTTATTGTTAAAAAATTTCCCTATGCAGAAAATGAATGAAGTTTTTACATCCAGAACCTGACTGTTGCACTCTATATACTTTAGCAAAAACAAATTGCATAACAAATATCACTACATTATTATCCGCTGTTTCACTCAAAAATATGTCAAATTATGGACGTTAAATGCTTTGTGAATGTTATTCCAATCTGTTTACGCCTTATATTTATCTCACATAGATACTAGAAGAGATAGTCAACAGTTTGGCCATTATAATGATTAACAGTGTGATTTCTTCACTCACTGCCTGTGATGCCATCATCTCGTTGATGCTCTGCTCGTACTGCTCGGCCAGAATGGCCAGTTTGCGCGTCTGCTCATCCTTCAGGGCTTTCAGGACCGTCTTGTGCTCACTTTTGGGGGTCACCTCTAGCTGATGGTGCCGCAGGGCCTTGTACTGTTTCGTCTGGACTTTACACGTATCCTGGAACTGTTTCTTTATCTGGAGCTCCATAGCCTGCAGGAGACACAACTCAAAGTTGTATAAACACAAACTGACAGCCTTTTCAGAACAAAAACTATCATCTAATATACGTTTTGACTCAAAGGATTGTGAAATGAAGCAAAAATATGATTTTTTTTAACACTTTACAGTAAGGTCCAATTAGTTAACGTTAGTTAATGCATTAACTAAGAAAAAATAACAAGTTAACCAAAACAACTGTTCATTGTTAGTTCATGTTAGCTTAGGTCCATTAAATAATATAAACAGATACAACTTTTGATTTTAATAATGTATTAGTAAATGTTGAAATTAACATGAACTAAATGCTTTAGAAGTATTTTTCAACTTAACTAATGTTAACAAATGGAACCTTATTATAAAGTGTCACCACAGTTTTAGATTTAAATGTGCCAAGTGCCTATGCAATTAAATGTTTAAACGTTTAATTTAAACATTAAACATCATCATCAGTCTCTACTGACCTGCAAGTGTTCCTAATATCTACCCAGTTTCTAAAATAAATCAAGGTTAATCTTGCAACCAGTCAGAGAAACAATGAGACCTACATAGATTTTGTAGGTTAAATTCAAACTATATATAGCTAGGTAATAAGAAAAGTTATTCCACAGTTGATGGTACTACCTTGAGGTTCTTGGGCTGCTGCCGTAGTTCGAGCACATGTTTCCTGTGCAGTTCTCTCTCTCTACGGTTGTTGTATTCGATCTGGTTCTCCAGCTCTGTTTGGTGCTGCAGTCGGATCAGATCCATGCGAAGTTTCTGTAGCGTCTTCAGCTGCCTGTGTTCAAGTTCTTGAGTCGACTCGTCTTGTCTAATCAACATAGCGTGCTCCATTTCCTTCTGGGTCTTCTTCTTATTCAACTCCTGGCAGTCAGAAAAACAGAAAATATTACATTAGCTTACAATAAAACAAACAAACAATTCTCTAATATGTCTAATCCAATTGCAGCCTCTCTATTAAATCTACTAATATTAATGGCTGGTGTTTTCTGTGTTGTTTCTTTTTTAGCATGATCCTTTGTGGATACATAAGATGGTTGCTAGGGAGTTGCTAGGTTGGCTAAGGTGTATTTTGTGGTTGACAGGTGATTGCTCAAAAGAGCCCGTCTCTATAAAGGTCTCTGATAATATTATAGTCCCTAGATATGGCTCGGATACCTCCTTTAACATAAATGTGATGGCTTATTTCGCCCATAACTCTGATCACTAAGAACACTTAAAGTAATGGTAAACACCTTTTCAACAAACCATTCTGGGGACGAATTACAAAGGTTACAAGAGTAAAACATGTTTGCTGTTCTATAGACCATAAATGGGTTTCGACCCGGGAATACTTCCGAAGGTTTCCTGCTGATTAAAGCGCTAGATTAAGAGATTTGCACATTGCTGCATTACTTATTCTCAAATCAGATTAATTGAAAAGAGTCATCAACCCTGAGAAAAGGTTCATATTTTGCATTAACCCTGGGAAAAGCCCCAAACACGATTCATATGAATGTACATGTATACATAAACAATACCATTCAAAAGATTGGGGTCAGTAAGATTTTATGATTTCTGAAAGAAGATTCTTATTCTCACCAATGCTAAATTTATTTGATTAAAATACAGCAAAAACTGTAATATTGTAAAATATTATTACAATTCAAAATATGTTTTCTATTTTAATATATTTTGAAATGTAATTTATTCCTGTGATGCAAAGCTGATTTTTCAGCATCATTACTCCAGTCTTCAGTGTATTCATTTCTGTATTTAAAAAAAAAAGAACATTCTGAACCCAAACCTTTGAAATGTATATATAGAGTGCCATTTGTCTTATTCTTTTCATCCCCACCTCTCGTAACTGCTCTTGCTCAAACTCGTGCCTCTTGACCATGATCTTGCGTTTGAAGGCCCTACAGTTCCTGTCGTAGAAAGCCCTCTGCTGACCCAGGAGCTGAGCCTCTTCTTCAGCCTGAGAGTGCTGGATGTTCTCCTTGTGCTTGGACAGCCTCTCCTGTTTCTCTTTCTTAGGCGTACTGTGGTCTTCACTCATTTCCTAAACAAAAAAAAAAATCACAAAGACCATGAGACAAGACAAGGGAATTAAAAGAAGCATTGATTTTAGACTAAACGTTCTCATTATAGCCGGATCACCCTCTTTTTAAGTCAACGTAAAATTGCATTCGCAACACATTACTTCTGTAATGCGACATTTTCATGTGAAACATGATATTCAGAAATATATGAGAAATGAAATGTTTTTATACATTTAGGAATTGACTGGATCATAAAATTAGAGGACTTGGTAAGTCGAACAGGAAAGTCGTTTTTGAGTTTACATGATAAAATGTATATATATATATATATATATATATATATATATATATATATATATATATATATATATATATATATATATATATATATATATATATATATATATATATATTGGAATATCATTAAGAAACCAGTTGATGTAAATAGGGTCATTTTTAGTTTCATGTTAACTGAGTATCTAGACATGAACCTCTTTGATCTTCTCCTTGCACAGCTTGTACTGTTTCTTCTGATTATCAAGGAAGGTGGTGAGCTCTTTCTTCTGTTGGGCCATGATTTGCTGCTGGAACTTCTTCTCATCAGCTGCCAGTGTTTTCATCTGGAAGAATGTAACACATTTATCATAAATATCAACATCTCAGTTTATCACAGATTTTTTTTTTCCTCTCATTTTAAAACAACTCCTGAAGAAAACTAACTGAAAAGATCCACACAGTCCTATTTTCTCTCAGGCTTCATTAACATACTAATCAACATATGTTGCATGAATAATTAGCATTCATCCCGTAGCTATTTACATGCTTAACAAGCAATATGGTAAAGCATAAAATAAACGGGTCTTTTTCAAATGACCTGCGTGAACTTTTGAACTCATTTCTTTGTACAGGGATTTTATAATATAGAATTTAAGATGTTAAAGCAATACAAGTCCAAGAAGAACTGGATGACACATTGGTCAATCACTACTTGCAATCCACATCATTTCAATTGAGCAATAGTTGATCGGCTAGTAACTATAAACAGTAGGGTCTCAGCAGAAGAATAAAGAAAGATCACCCACTTCTTTGTCCGTTTGGATGGCGTGCTTCTTGGCGAGTTTCTCCAGCTCAATGAAGGCATTGTTGGCGTGGGTTTCCAGTTCTTTCTGGAGCTTCAGTCTGTGCTCGTCCATCTCTGCCTTCAGCTTGTTCTCCAGAGCGATCAGCTGCTTCTGGTGTTGCCGTCGCATGCGTTTGTACCCCGACATCTGCTCTCGGAGCTCATTTTCCTGCTCATGTTCGTGTATCTGACGCGTTACCTAGATGGAAAAGAACTCGGTCAGAGGGTGACGGGTAACTTTTGAGATGATTGCGATGAGATTTGTCAGTGTAACAAAGGGTAAAAGCAACCCACAGTTCTTGGGAAGACCTGGCGATTGGAAAAGTTTGACCACATTTTAAAGACATTGTCAGATCATTTAAAATGAGGTATCGAGCTAAAGGCATTTACTTCAACTATATCCTCTTTTCTTCACTTTTAATCCCTACTGGCACCTTTAACTGTTGGGTTGTTTTTAAAGCATCCCCATGAAAATAGACAGGAAAATGTAAGGATCTAGGAAGAGAAATGAGGGATTCCCGGTGCAGTCCAGTGGAATAATTCATTAGATCCATTAAATTGGGTGACCAGATCGCAAGCTCGCATCATCATCACCACAGTGTCGTCTTTTCACATTATGATAGCAGAATAAAAAGAAGCAGCCCTGAAATCAACAACAGCACTAGACCAAAACTTCTTGTGATATCAAAGGCACGTTAAAATCACAAGCACTGTATGATTAGACTGACAAATTCAAATAGTGCATGATGGAAAAATGACAATTCAGTCCATCAAAATGATGGATAATTATCATTTTAGTGCAATATCTGATTGCGACAAAGAGGATGCAAATGTGAATATTACCCATCTCAACATTGCCTTTGCCTACATCTAGAATGTCACCGATGCAAATATAAATATATATATATGAAAACAGAAAACCCCCACCATTCCCTTGACTTTGCAAACCCGTGGAAGACAAACCTGGAAGAAGGGCGTGTCCAGATCAAACTGTTCGTTGAGTTTCTCGTAACTCCCACCTGAACTCCTCATGCCAAACATGTTGGCGAAGTAAACCACCCGTGAGAACATTGAGTCTCGCCTGCACTACATCCCCCAAAAGCACTCGCTCAAAACCCACCGAGAGAGAAAGAGAGAGCGAGAGAGGGATGGAGATAAAGAGAGAGGGCGAACACTGCTTCTCCTCTCTCCTCGCAGGTGCGCCATGAATGAAAGAGGTTCTCAGAGAGGCCTGGCCTTGCGCGCGGGCTAAGCAGCGTTTAGTAGGCCAGTCACATGAGATGCCTGTTGAAGAGGGAAATTTCCTAATCACCCTGAATCAGTAGCCCCACTGTAACCGCAGTCACCAATCCAATCGCTTTCTGCCCAAATGCCCCTATCAGCCGCAAAGGGGCATGTGATAGCACTAAGCCCTGGGCCTGGTCACAAAAAAAGAATGGAAAATAATGAAAGAAACACTTTCAGGTTAAAGGTAACACAGATGGGCATCCTAACTAGATTCAAATTCAACTTCTGACCATTTCCGATTAAAGGTAAATACATGTTTATGTGGAGCTGACACTAATGGAATTAATGTGTTGCCAGAACAGGCATTTTAATGCTCTGTTTCAACCAAGATAAATGCCGTTTTAAGGCACGCTCCTGATGCAAAAGTAGCTCCAAAAGGTTGTTGTGGGCAAAATATGGTATCGGATGCATCTCTCACAGAAAATGCTAAGAATGCATTGCGACAAGCTTAGTGAAACTGAAACATATCACCTAAGATTGCAGATGAGTTAAAGTCGGCATGAAACAGAAGTCTTTTCTTCCCTATTGTGACGTATATACGAGTGAAGCGGCTTCTGGAATGAGGAAAAATGGGCGGGACTGGATTTTGTCCTTCAGGAATTGATTGGATCATAGGAAGTGTTTCTAACTATATGTAGGCAGACCTGAATGCCAGTTTGCAGTCAGTTGTGGAGGATATTTAGTCTCCTCTATGCCGAGACACAAGTCATGAAGAGAACAGATGCCGTTTCGAGGGGGAGGGGAGGTTAATGTTTTTTTATTAAAGATTATGAGGGCATTTAAAAAATAATAATAATAGTAATGATTTCCACGGATAAAGCAGTTATAATACGCACTGCAACATCCTGTAAAAAAAATAATTTCATGGTGACTTAAAGAGAACTCCTATCAAACTATATTTCAATAATCGATTGATTTCATTCAATTGTAAATAGTATCAGCTGAAAAAATAAAATGGAATAATAAAGTTAAAATGTGTAAAAAGACTACTGTTCAAAAGTTTGGGGTTTGTATTTTTTCTTGTTTGAAAAAAAAAACCCGATACCTTTTTCATCATTTTGATCAAAATGTGACCGTAAAGTCAGTTATGTTACAAAATAATTTTATTTCAAATACATGGCATTTTTTTTATACATAGAAACTATATAAGAATGATTTCTGAAGTATCATGATGTGACACTAAAGACTGGAGTAATGATGCTGAAAATTCAGCTTTGCCATCAAACAAATTACATTTCAAAATGTATTACAACTTTACAATATTACTGTTGTTACTGTATTTTTGATCACATAATGACTTCTTTAAAATAATCTTAAAGAGCCCAAAGTTTTGAACAGTAGTGTAATTGTACGTTTACAAGGGAATCCCGCTTTAGCTTGGCAGCACACTAACGTAAAATGCTATTGGAATTAATTATAAGTCAAGACTTTGGCGTGCTTCACATGAAGAAAGGTATTTGGACCAAACAAATTGCCCTCCTCACGTGAACACTAGAGACTTGAGGAATTGCTACCCATGTATATCAGTCACTTATAGGTAGACCCACACAGAATCTGCAGAGTTTGCATTTTGTGCTGATTTTAAGGGGGGAAATGGTGGTTTTATCACTGTTAAAATATCTGAGAGCATTACATTCTTATTGGTAACCAGAAGCAGAAAGGTGAAAGAACACACAAAGTGTGGCTGTGAAACTTTTTGAATTACGATCTTTCCTACTGCAGAAATATGATTTTTATCGAAAGGCGCTTATGAGGTTCCAGGACGGTTATGATTCTGCTCTAGAAGGTGACAGCATGGCAGTTCACTAGGTTTTGAAAAAAATCTAAAGATTTAAATGTAAATCCAAACTGCAAGCAGGAGCCGACTTAAAACTTACAAACAGTCAGAAAACTAAACTAAAATGTGAAATGTTAGTATGACATCAACTGGATACTATGTTTCGATTTACAACCTGGCTGTTATAATGCATCTAAGGTATTCTCACATTCCCTTTTTCATCCCTATATAGTTTTGCCTATTCAATATGTAGTCCCTTCCCACCTTCGTTCTCGTCTTCCCTCCTTTTTTCCCTGTCTCACTTTCTAAACCTCACCCCTCCTCTACGGCTTTTCATATGAAACACAAAGAGAGTCTCTTTCCCTGCATAGCCCAGATCCTTGTGTCTCATTCCATACAACTGTAACCCAAATCAATATATAAAAAGTGCACAGTTGTTTCCACCAAGTCAAAAAAAAAAAAAAAAAAAAAAAAAAGATTTAGGAAGGTGCGCCATGCCCATAAACCCACTAAAGCCAAACTCCTTTGTGATCATCTGAAATGATAGATGAGTGTCTGTAGTATCAGACAAAGTCCACTGTGGTTGTCTGCCCCTAGAGGGCGCTCACGTTCCAGCAAAATGGGGCCAAAACCGGTGACATCATCATTTCAACCAAGCATACTGCGATCGACTACACTGCCTGCCAGAGATCTCCATATATTCATCAATTAGGGTGGAAGTGGTTGTATCACAATAGATAAATTTTTTCTGCTTAATTGCATACATTCTTTATTGGTATCGTTCATGTCTGACATTGACCTTCTGTTTTTATAAAAAAAAAAAAAAAGATTTTCCCAAAACCCAACAAAACGAAGAATATCCTTTTGTGTTGGATCACACTGTATTAACTAATAGTAGAGAACAACACCAATGACTCGTGCGAGGAGTGCAGCTGGCTATTGACTGAATCATGTTGCCTTGACAACAGACATGAGAGTGAGAGAGGAAAGTAGGACCCTTTATTTCTTCCTCTCGAATAAAGAGAGGGTTAAACAGAAAGAGAAGGAGGCAAAGACCACTGAGAAACAGAGAGAGAGAAATGACCGCAGAGTGTATTAAAGCCAAGGAAGAAAGAAAAGAACGAAAGAGTGAAGCAAGAGAGGAGGGGGGATGAGAGGATGATGTCATTCTTTTTCCTCACCAGTGATGCTGACTTGATGGTGGCGAAGCGTTCGCGGTTTTTATAGTTGTGAGCCTGAGCTCTTTCCGACGAGGACGGTCGCAGGTCCGACCGGTGGTCCCGATGAGGAATGTCATCACGGATATACTGATGATCCTGAGGGGAAAACACACACACACAATCAGTCAAGGATTTGGTGTCACAACATAATAATCTCTTGAGGAGTGAATGAGATCTTTTGTTTTAACCGCAAGTTGTTTAACTGCGTCACAGTATTTACATTTATGCATTTGGCAGATGCAATCCGAAGTGACTTGCAGATCATTCAAGCAATACATTTTCCTTACAACATCCGAAGCAGGAGCTTTATGTTTCCTGTTGCTGGAGCATCAGCTGAGACGTTTCAACATGAGACTGTTCAATACTAAAACACGCTCACTATCTTAAAATATCTTTATTAATCGACCCACGAGGTTTGTCGACCTGAAGCGCTCATATTCCTGAGGGGTTTATCTTCTCTCAGTGAATAAAATGAAGAACAACTTGGGCTAAGGGCTGTTCAGTTCCCATAAAGTCGATTCATATTTCTGCTGCATGCTGATGTAATTTCCTTGAGGACAGGAAGTGTCAATCATGCGTGCATGTGTTTGTTAACTTCCCAAATCACATACTTTCAAAGAATGTGCAGCGCATGTAATCGATGCAGTGCAGTATTTAAATAGGCATATGGTATAAACTAGGGCCGTACAATCTTTTCCCAAAAAAAAAAAAAAAAAAAAAAACAGTACATGTATAACAATAATAATAAGTATTATTATTAATACTAAATAAAGATAATAAAAATAAATAATAATATTGTAATATTTCACTGTAAAATAAATAAGTTAAGGAGATTTTTTATAGTACAACTGTAAAGTAAAATTAACAATAATAATAATATTAATTATTATTATTATTAGTTATTGATACTAAATACAAATATTAAAAATAAATAATGCTATTGTAATATTTCACTATAAAATAACAACAATAATATCAGTTATTGATACTAAATAAAAATATTAAAAATAAATAATACCATTGTAATATTTCACTGTAAAATAAAGTATTTAAGAAAAACAATAAAATTATATTTCACAGCACAACTGTAAAATAATAACCATAATGATAATAATAATTATTAATATTATTACAACATAAAATTATAAAAAGGAATTACTATCATATTTCACTGTAAAACAAAACAAATATTATTGCAGAAAATAATAATAAAATAATATACTTTATACTATATTTATATATACTTTATACTATGTTCAGTTCCCATAAAGTCGATTCATATTTCTGCTGCATGCTGATGTAATTTCCTTGAGGACAGGAAGTGTCAATCATGCGTGCATGTGTTTGTTAACTTCCCAAATCACATACTTTCAAAGAATGTGCAGCGCATGTAATCGATGCAGTGCAGTATTTAAATAGGCATATGGTATAAACTAGGGCCGTACAATCTTTTCCCAAAAAAACAAAACAAAAAAAAAACAGTACATGTATAACAATAATAATAAGTATTATTATTAATACTAAATAAAGATAATAAAAATAAATAATAATATTGTAAATAACTGTAAAATAATAACCATAATGATAATAATAATTATTAATATTATTACTACATAAAATTATAAAAAGGAATTACTATCATATTTCACTGTAAAACAAAACAAATATTATTGCAGAAAATAATAATAAAATAATATACTTTACACTATATTTATAATCATTATTATTACAAAAAAAATTATTTACATTTTTTTTTTTTTTTTGCATACCACACTGTATAATAGGGACGTTTGCATATTTGGATGAGGGGAGCATCTTTGAACTATTTGTTTGAAAATAATATTAAAGTATACCTTTTCTGCACACAGAAAGACTATGTTCAAACCATTCAAATTGCAACAAGCCGCTCTTCTAAAAACAGCTCAACTGAAATGATTTCCAGGAATCTACTGGAAGGCATATGTTCAATTTTCATCAAAATATGGTAAGCATTTAAAAAAAAAAAAAAAAAAAAGGACGGCAGTGCATTGTAAAGCTTGTGGAGATGTCTGTGTGCGTCCTGAACCTTTTTGTGGTGCGTGGAAGACTCGAGGGTGCTGTCGTAGTCGTGGTGCAGCTCGGAGCAGGAGTCGTCGGGCACCTCCTGCAGGCTGTTAACACTGCTGCTCTGACTGCCCGTGCTCACGGACGTGCTGGGGATGGAGTGATTACTGCCCAAACTGTTCATCTTACAGCTTGCCTGCTCTCCATCCTGCGCAGGGGACAGAGAAATACACACAGAGAAACAGATCATCAACCTTTCTGAAGAACAAGATTTATTTACATTACTGAGAGCAATTTACACAACATCCACACTATACTGAACTCCTTACTGCCTAATAGTTCAATATACTGTACAGTTCAGTTCTATTTACCTTCAATGTAGTTGAAAAAAAAACAGTTTCATACATTTTTGGTGTAATTCAGTACAGTCTGTATTAAATAATTTAATAAAGTATATAGCTCAGTTAAAAAAAAAACTCTATACATTAAGCGTATGTCAATATAGTAGTATGCAGTATAGACACTACAGATCAAAGGTTTTTTGAAAGAAGTCTCTTATGCTAAATGCTGCATTAATTTGATCAAAAATACAATAAAACAGTAATACTGTGAAATATTATTACAATTAAAAAATGTTTTATATTTTAACATTTCTATTCCTGTAATTTTCAGCAGCCTATACTCCAGTCTTATTTTTACTGTCACTTTTGATCAATTTAATGTATCATTGTTAAATAAAAGTATTCTTTTTTTTTTTTTTTTTTATCATACAGACCCCAAACTTTCGCACGATAGAGTAATTACAGCAGTTTAATATACTTTCAGTATATTTGTAATTCTGTTTAGTGTATAGTTGGTTATAGCATATAGTATCATATACCTTAAGTTTAGTTCAGTATAGTACTGTATAAGGTACAGTGTACTTTTAAACTAAATATTTATAATATAGCTCAGAGTGGTTTATTATCCCTTAAAGGGATACTCCACTTTTTTTTTTGGAAATAAGCTAATTTTACAACTCCCTCAGAGTTAAACAGTTGAGTTTTACCGTTTTCTAATCCATTCAGCCGATTTTCTGATATTTAGAAGAATATCAGTAACCAGACAGTTTCTGATCCCATTGACGAGACCCAACTCGGCTTGGTTCCAGAGATATGCCTCTTTGAAGTTTCAACTTTGACCCGGTGTATCCAAAAAAATAAGCCGAGTTGGGGCTCCACACTCTGGGCGTGGGGGGACCAATAGGAGACCCCCCTGTGCCCAGAGGATGGAGCCCCAACTAGGCTTCATCACTGAGATACACCAGTTCACTGGTTCCCCACTATTGACAGTAGTTATTGAGTCCTCTAATAGCGACACAGCGCACACAGAACGACTCAAGAAAGCCCAGGGTACAAACCCGGCTATCCTAGCGTCCCCACAGACGCAAAGGGAGACAGATACAAGGCAATCATTTTAATAAGACAGTCGATTTATACAAAGACACCCTCATGTCCCTCTCATGTACAAGTCATAACATTTCAAAGATTCATAGTTACTCCCACCTTTTACCCGACTCGGGGGACCGGGACTTTGGGCCTGGGGGAGACCCACGGTCCGTCCCCCTACCGCGTCGAGTGGAAGTCAATGGGACCAGAAACTGTCTGGTTACTGATATTCTTCTAAATATCAGAAAATCGGCTGAATGGATTTGAAAACGGTAAAACTCAACTGTTTAACTCTGAGGGAGTTGTAAAATGAGCATATTTCCAAAAAAGTGGAGTATCCCTTTAAGTATAGTTGTATCACTTTATTCCCTCTAAATATACGGATGGAAATTAGCATTGTGCTAAATCTGGCGTATTTACGTTCAACTTTGATTGTACGTTCATGAATATGCATTGTCCCATATAAAAATAAATATTCAAATACATTAAAATTGACAGACTGATTCTAAATCTAAGTGTAGTCACAAATTATTGTATAACTCAAAACTAGGGATGTCTCGTTCAAGTTTGTTGTGCCCCTGATCCCATCAGTCATTGAATATTGATTATCTGCCGATACTGAGTCCTGTCAGATGATGTAAAATAAAGGATCCTGCTTAGTATAGCCGATACCAATCAATCAGTTTTTATAAAAATAAATGCTTGATCGGCCCAAATGCCGATCCCTACTCAAAACTGATGTTAAAATCAAAGCATGGATGGCAAACCTGTAAAGTATATATTTAAATAAGACAAATCAATGCCTGCCTCGACATAAATGTTATATCAGTTGTGTATACAAAATGAAACTGGCAGTGGCAAGTATGAATCCGACATGTGTGCGTATGACACTCATGGGGACCTTTCATTTCTCAGAGCATTTCCTGTACCCACCTCCTCCTCTTCCTGAGACTCCCCCATTGGGCCGTTGTGTTTCTCTTGGTAGAGGATTTTTTTCATTTTACGGTACTGCAGGTTGTCCAGTTCTCTGACTGCATCCTTCGTCCTCTGGATCAGATCGATGAGGACCTGTGGAGGACGATCTCTCCTCACGAAATCATGCTGGGACAGACAAAGGCGGACAGAGAGGAGATTTGTGAAATTAACAACTCTGTTTTGGGAATTTTAGGCAAGTAAAATGAGCAATAAGTGGTGATGAAATGTACAAACAGCTTCTGTGTGTAAACATCCTGATCAATCAAATCTCACCCTCAGATTTGATTACATTTATGACGAGTGTATCACATAGATAGAGGAAAATGTGTTTTTATTTGGCCCCACGTTCACCTGAAAACTACATGAACGACATTCATTTCATAAAAGCAAATAATTCAGGAGAAACATTTGGGGGTTAAGCATGATGCAATTCAACTGCCATGAAATAAACCCAGTCTCAATCCTCTCAGCGTGTCGGATTACTCCACTTGTGCTCTGAATTACGTCATTTCATGTTTGTCCTTTGCTCACTAGAGGGTGCTCATGTGTAATATGGCCCTGAGTGGACATATGGCATATGGAGAAGGGGTTTTGACATGGCTGGCTAAATGAGGACTTGATCTCACCTCCTCAATGATAATAAAAAGAGAACAGACTCAAGTTCATGAAGCTGCATGTGCGCATGTTAACTGGTTTCACAAAACTGTGCTCTGTAAACCACAAACCAAGACTCTTTGAAAGTTAATTGGTCATGTTGGAGTTCTTTCCATTACCCAACTGGAGTCATTTATTTATTTGGAAGAAAACGGTTAGAATCCAGATTTCTCGGCCATTAGACGACATGTCAACTGCTCTAGCACAAAATAAGCTTTCTCATTGACCTTTTTGGCCCTGTTTACACCTGGTATTATTAAAGATGCGTTTTGGTCAATCGGATCACAAGTAGACGAGGGAGACATTACCATTTTCAACCACTTCTGTCCTGATTCCTTCGAGGGGAGGGTCTATGGGAGGGTAAATGTATGGCCTTTTTCAGATTTTTCGATCTAATGGACAAAATAAGCTCACACAATTTACATACGAACACACAGAAGAAGACAGAAAAAAACACTCTGCTCTTTCTGCTTTGATAGGCACAAGACTACATGACAAGACAAGAGAGTGCGAGTTAGAAATCAGGAATGGGGAACTTTGTGCTTGGTATGTTTTTGTCTTCAAACCAAACTTGGGTCTCAAGCTGACAAAGTTTAAATCCTGTCTGGCAAGAGCACTTCCCATAATGTTTACGCATTGTCAGTAGGCAGAGAGTTGGTGGTCTTTTGCGGCTGTTTGAACGCTTTCGACCACATGAGCGCTTGCAATCCGGTCTAATGCGTTTTCGACTACCTCTGGAAGTGCTCGAAAGTGAACAAGCTCAAAACGTTTTAGACCCTGTGTACACCTGTATTTAACACAGTCTACTTGTGTGATACGATCGACCAAAATGCATCTTAATACCAGGTGAAAACAGGGCCTTTGAAGTGGAACCTACATTGGTTTATTGACGTTAATGAAAGTTACTCTTCATCTGACAGCATGTCATTTGCTCTAAAGCGTAAACTGTTCTTATATACTACTACCATTCAAGATTAGGGTCAATAAGATTTTTTTTTAAGTCCCCCTGTGGTGAAAATCAAGCTTTTAATGTTGTTTATATGTATATGTGGTGTTTTTAATACAGACAAACCATGTGCAAATTATGAATTTGCATTGACTTATGAGTCAACACCATTGCTGAGTATTTTCTCCTTAAAACTGCAGTGAACCAAAGACAGTCTCAAAATCGCGGTTTGAAATCACCTGTGTTTCAATCACAACGCCGTGTGACCGTCAACAACTGGATCTTTGAGCTGGTGTGAATGAGTGGAGATGGGGCTAATTTGCATATTCATATAACCGCGTATACTAAATGGGGCAAGGGTGTAGAGTTACATTCAAGCTAATTTAAGGCATGAAGAAAATTTTCTTCGGCTAAATATGTCATTTTGGTGATCAAAGATTAGTTATAAGGGATAAAATGATTGACTACAGGGGGACTTTAAGAAAGTAATACTTTAAGATTAAGAAATAAGAAAGAATTAAGAAATTAATCAGCAAGGATGCATTAAATTGATCAAAAGTGACAGTAAAGACGTTTATAATTTTAGAAAATATTTCTATTTCAAATAAATGCTCTTCATTTAAATTTTATCAGTTTTAAATGAATATTAAAAAAATATCAGTTTTCACAAAAATATTAGGCAGTTCAACTGTTTTCAACATTGATAATCAGATAATGTATGTTGAAAATTCAGCTTTTTAAAATCACTAGAACTGTATTAAAAAATATAAAAGTTATTTTAAATTGTAATCATATTTCACAATATTACTGTTTTTACTGTATATTTCATCTAATAAATGCAGCCTTGGTGAGTAGACTTCTATTAAAAACATTTTTAAAAGTTTTCATTTGACAAACATAAAATGATCTAAAGCGTACACCGATCTCGTAGGCCTAATCAAAGTGGACTGGTTTCACCTTTGCTTGGTTTCAATAACTGTTGATAAATGTTACCACTCTCAATAAACATCTATAGAGAGTGATTTGGAAAGGAATTACAAATTTAGCTGAAAATGCATTTAGTTTAAGCAGATCGCGTCTGTGTTGTGAGCTGGTAAAGCACCGGAGAGCAACCGGCTCAACCGATAAGCCCGGCAAAGACAGTTACAGCTAACAGCTCGGCTTCCCAATGATAACATGGATAAGCATTTGCCACTCTAAACGGACATCTGTGACTGACCAGCATGGGAGGAAACTAATCTAAGGGATTATCCCTTTTAACTAGAGGAAATTACATAATCTGAAGTCTTCCATCTCTAACTGTCAGATATCGAGTGACATCCCCTGCTCATTCTCGATCGACAAGACCTCTGTAGGTCAAGAATTTAGTTGGATTTAGACCCCATGTGAGATTAAGACAGCAGTTGGGAAGCGGCAAATGGTGCGAATAGAATAAATTGATGCTAGTCTCAGATTAATTACTTCTTTTTGGTTTTAAGGAGCTTGAAAGGCCAGACTTGAGGTATTAGTGAGGAATGGGACACCAAAACTGGGTCGAAATTCATTTTTTCCCAGTCCCAACCAAGGCCACAGAAGAGACCCCGGTATCCCATGCCACCTTGGGCCGCCCACCCCTGTGAGGTTGTGCCTGAAGTGCATGCCACTAAGCTCTCAGTGCTAAATAGGATTACCTGTGTCCACCAACAAGATCAACCGTAACATGTAACGTACACCCACATAAACAGACCCATACAATGCGCAAACAAACAAACGAATCACTTCGGCAACACAATCCCTTAATGATCCAGTATCCAGAGCTACCCCACAGCCAATAATTACCCATATCCCCACTGTAGTGCTATATTCTACCACACATTTATTTTGGTGATGATATAAATCCATAAGCCTCCCACCACAGCATGATATCACAAACATTAGTCACCACGCAGCAATATGTCCACCTACAGCTCCAGTGATTCGGTTGAGAGAAAGTCATGGTTATATTAGTTGAGTAAGACACACACAATCAAAAAATCCTCTTGCTTTTATTAACCCTCCAAGGATGTAGCTGGCACAGGAAGTGAGCAAATGAAAAAACAGCAGAATGACATGTTCTGTGGGTTGAGCTGTGCATATGAAAACGTGGATGTGTGTGAGTCAGCAGGGACGGATGAGTAAGGAACCCACTGTCATGAGAACAGGAAGTACTGACAGATATGGCGAAGAGGAAGTGCACTCCCCAACTGCAAGAGCCTCTTTATCTCTTTGAAAATGAAGATATTGACGTTTTTACGAATGACACATGATGGGGGTTATGAATGTGAGGGTGTACGTTACTAGGGCGGGACCTCTGTAAAGGGACATCAGAGTTTCCTTCAAATGTGCCACAACTTTAGATGATAGAAATGCTGAGAATGTAACATGTAGGCATACACTACTGTTCATACGTTTTGGAGTCTGTAGGTTTTTGAAAGAAGTCTCTTATGCTCACTGAGGCTGCAAATATCTGATAAAAAATACACTAAAAACATTAAACTGCTTTGTATTTTAATTTATATTAAATACAATTAATTCCTGGGATGGCAAAGCTGAATTTTCAGCATCATTTCTTCAGTCTTCAGTCTCAAATTATCCTTCATAAATCATCATAATGTACTGATTTGGTCCTCGAGATCAACTTAATATCATCAATGTATGACAGTTTGCTGCTTAATATTTGTATGGAAACCATGATTTTATTTTTTCTTCAGGATTTTTTGATGAAAGAACAGCACTTATATGAAATAGAACTTCTTGTAATGTAAATGTAATGTAAAACTTTTGATCATTTTAAAGTCTCACTAACCCCAAACTTTTGAATGGTAATGTACTTGCGCTATGTTATGAATTGTGCAATTTATGTAAAAACTAAAACTCTGGTATAACATTTTATATCTCAGACGGTCTCTTCCTGTCTAATTCAACAGTTCTTTGCCATACTCAGCTGTAATGTAGACCCGACCATATGCCGTTTGTTAAAGTTCTCAGTCCATGAGATTAAGCTACATAAGAAGTTTACATTTCTGAGCCTAAAATGTAACAATCTGTGTGTTAGTATCACATGAGTATTTCGCCTTCCCCCAGCAAGTGTATTTATTTACAGAGAGTGTTTGAAAATGTGACTAAAAGTGGGAGTGAATTAACAGTAGTGTGTGGGCACCCAGAAGTCGAGGTTGAACTTAGATGAGCAATGCTTATGAGTGACTTTATAAGTGACGTGATAACTTCCCCTGCATGTGTGGACATGGTGTGTATGCGATTACTCACCCGCAGGAGCTCTGCTGAGGAGGGTCTGTCCTGAGGAATCTTTAGTAGGCAGTAGTCAACGAAACTCCGGAATGCATCCGACCTTCACAAAATACATGCAACAGTTCCAGTATTATACACTTTTGTAGGGTACTGAATGTGCAAAAAAATTAAAGAGATGTTTGAAGCAATATTTACAGTCATCATGAAACCTTCTGAATCTATTTGACTTCAGTTTCAATAATTGTGTATATAAATGTTACCATTCTTATATTCTACCATTTAAAATTCATACTTTTATTCAAGGGTGCATTAAATTGATCAAAGTAAAAGTAAAATATTTATATTTCCAATAAATGCTGTTCCTTTGAACTTTCTATTCATCAAAGGGGAAAAAAAATATTACAGGTTCCCCAAAAATATTAATCTTTTTTTAATGACCCAAACTTTTAAATGTCAGTGTTCATATGTATATAGTCGTTTATATATACTGTACATCAGTAGGGTATACTGTATATAACATATATATATATATATATATATATAGAGAGAGATTTTTTAATTTTTGTAGGAATTTATGGGGATCATATAAATGGTCAATTGATTAGAAAAACAAGAATGCCTAGTGACAAAAAAGTAATTTCAGGGATCAGTTATTGCATTTTGGTGAAAAAATATGTAGACAAAGCTTTTACATTTTGAATAACGTGAACAGATAAAACATTCACAATAAGACCAGGAATATGTATTCAGAAAGTAAACCGAGTTGATTCTGGCTTCATATTGACTTTATAACATAAATAATATTTCTCTGTTTCCCTTACTGAAAGGATTCCTTCAAGTTTTGTGAAGTGTATTGCAAAAGTATTGCAAAGTCATGTGTAATGTGAACACATCTCCTCCACATAAGAAAACACTATGCAAAATAAATAGGTCACCAAATTAACTTTGTGACACCCTCAATATTTTGGCCTTCCAATTTCCAGATCCATCAACTAAAGGCCTGAAAGACGAGCAGGCTTTTGGCTTTGCTGCAGGTCAGAAAGATGAAGGGACTGAAAGTTTGCTTGTGCAATAATGCATAAGATCAGGAATTGTGAAGAACTGGCAGATGGGGTCAGGGTTATTGCATAACACATTTAAAGTGTGAGAGGAGTGCGTAGTTAAGAGAGTATATACTATACTGTATGTTTGACGAGTAGGAGTGTATACACATACTGTATATATCTACACGAGTGAGTCAACTTCAGTTTGGCGATTGTGTAGAAGGACACTCACCACTCATTGGACTGTAAGGAGGGAGAGTCGTTTTGGGCGATGTGGTATAAGGCACTCATAGCGTTCATGTTGAAGAGGGGAGGCTTGCGTTCAGCTAGAAAACAGCAGGGGTGTAAGAAAAAAGATCATTGGATACATTTTGAATGAATATGCACATATGCTAATCAGAAGCAGATGGTATGTCAATATTTAGGCTGAATCGCAATTAGTCTTGAATCGTATGCAGTATTAGTAATAGTGTGTCCAAAACCATAGCATGTTAAAAACAGTAAAAAATATGCTACAGAAAACATCTGGATGATAAGCTACATTATTTGTTAATACGATTATCCTAATACTATTACACTTCAATGTATGTTCTTAGCGGGGGTGTACATGATGATTCTCTTATGTGAAAATAAGACATAATTTTATGATTTTGTAAAGTGTCCCAATATTGGGATACTAGTACTAATATTGGGCTTCAACATGCATACTTTGCAAATGCAGCACGTTCTAAATTAATTGAAATGAGAGTAAAATGAGATCATACAGATTACGTTATGAAATCACAAAGGAAAAAAAAAAGTCCTTAAAATATTAAAATAAATCAAATGATGGGAGAATTACACATCTGTCTATTATAAAAGAAAAATTTTCGGCTACCATGTTTAATTTATGATATTATAAATACAAAATATAATAACATAAGGAAAACCGTCATATTGAATTATGAATAAAGGTCAAAGGGCATCAGCTATAGTTTTGATGTAATAACACACAGTGAATGGTTAACAGCTTCTAAACATTGGTTTACTATAAAGCACCAGAACATTAGAAAACGGAACATGGATGAAATATAAAGTTTAAAAACATAGCGACTTACCCAGCTCTATGCAAGTGATCCCCAAAGACCAGACGTCCACCTTCCCCTCATACTGACCCTCATCCATGGCTAAAATCACTTCTGGGGCCATCCTGTGGTAGAAAAACACACAATTGTTTAATTACCCCTGGTTTATCAGGATGTGTCATCATCTTAAATGTCAATATGTGTGGTACAAACCAATATGGGGTTCCCACAAAGGAGTTGGCAGGAGATGCAATGGAAGCGGAGCCAAAATCAGCCAGCTTGACCTGACCCGGCTCTGTCAGCAGGATATTACCAGCCTTCACATCTCTAAGCAAAATCACAGAGAGAGAGCATTGCAGACAGACAGTACAGGCCTACTGTAGTATCATGTTACCACATTATGCAATGGCAAGTGTCACAAAAAAACACAACACAAAACACACCTTGCAGAGAGAAAACGAAAGTAAAAATAGCACTGTATTACTGGAAGCTAATAAAACATAAGAACTCAGTTCAATAAAGAATGACGGAAAATGGTATGCTGACATGCGGATGTGTAATTATAACAGTTTAGTACCCTGAAACCGAAGAGTACACACTCTAAACTAGAAAAAAATTAAGCTTTGATATAATCAGTTTTCAATTATAACAATCTAGTCTACAAACTCTGAAAAATAACAGTAAAAGAAAATACATACAAAAGAAAGCAAAAGTAAAAATAGCAAAACAGATAAGAACTTGCATGCTGTAAAGCAGTTAAATAAAGTGACAATAAATGGTATTGACATATGCGGATGTGTCATGGATTAGTACTTTACATAATTATAATGATTTTGTACTTTGAAACCTGAAACTGAAGAGCACACACTCTTAATTAGAAAAAAATAGATAAATTGATGTAATCCATTTTCAATAATATCATTCTAGTCAGACCAATGCTGAAAATTAAAAAAACAATGCAAAACAAAGAGCAAATATGCTCACTGCAAACAAAGTTAGAGGGGCAAAAAAAAAGCAGTGCTTTACGGTAAGCATATAAACGCATCAAAAAAATAAGTTGTAAAGATTTATCTGCATTTCACGCATATTGAGGATGCTGATATTGTGCAAACGGGCATCAGTCAGGTGGCGACTCACCTGTGTATCATGTTATGGGAATGTAGGTAAGCCAGTCCTAGCAAGGCACCGTGGGTAATGGCAGCAATTTCAACCTCTTGGAGGGGTTTCTTGTGAACTGGACACAAATAAAAGAAAGATGCTTGATGACATCTCAACATGTGCATAACAACATTTGTTGTTACTATACACGTGGTGCTCAAAAAAAGAAAAAAAAAATGTGTCAAAACAACAGAGCGAACTGACATGACATTTAGAGACATTCTCTTATAGACAAGGACTGAGAACTTGATTGGAAAACCGCCTCGAATTAATCAGACGCAGCCACTGATCTATATAATGACCAGTGGACGCAGCCTAAATTACTCCTAAAATGACAATGGCAAGTTAAACTGGAAATTCGAAATTCTTTTACACACACATATGGAGCGATAATTGAAACCAACAGTCTATCATTACAGCTGTGCAATGCATGTTGCCATGACAACATCTGAAGGAAACAAAAACATGAATGCAATGGCAGTTTGGTAGTGACACTGGAAATAAAACACAATGGGCTTTATAACGTGTCTGGGATGTGGTTAATAAAGGCCTTCAACACTGACTAAAAAACACATGACAGCTCTAACAATTACTGTTCCTCTGTGTGAATGCATACTGGGGGTGTGCACTGTACTTGCATACATGAAAGAAAGTGTGTGAACTCACCCTCTAACAAGTCTGAAGCGGAGCCGAGACAATACTCCATCACAAGCTGAATTAAAAAACGCAGACAAGATTATTGGGAAAAGCAGGCATGGTTAATTGCCAAGTAATTCTGGGAATAAACTTAAAAGTAAACTAAGCTAAAAATAGTTCTTATAAATAGCAACGCGTTTGTGAACCAAGAAAACAGTTTTATCACTCTTAATGGCAGTACAAACCCATGCTGTGTTGTCCTTCAAGTAGCAGCCCTTGTATTCAATGGTGTTTGGGTGTCGTAGCTGTTCCAAAAACTTCACCTCTTTAATGATGTCCTGCCACTTCTGAACAGGGGAACCCAAAGAAACACACACATACAATTTGAATATCAGTACTTTTGGCTTCGACTGATATTCGATACCGATAACTAAAGAGCATCCATCCATCCATATAACCATCCACCCGTCTGTCCGTCCGTCTGTCTGTCTGCCTTTATAACCATCCATCCTTCCTTTTAACCATCCATCCGTCAATCATTCTGTCTATCCTTATAACCATCTACCCGTCCACCCATCCATCCATCCATCCATCCAGTCAATCATTCTGTCTATCCTTATAACCATCTACCCGTCCACCCAGATGACACCCAGTTGTCATGGTCTCTATCTATCATCTATCGATCTATCGATCTATCCATCCATCCATCCATCCATCCATCGTCTATCCTTATAACCATCCATCCATCCGTCCATCATTCTGTCTATTCTTATAACCATCCATCCATCCGTCAATCATTCTGTCTATCCTTATAACCATCTACCCTTCCACCCAGATGACACCCAGTTGTCATGGTCTCTATCTATCATCTATCGATCTATCGATCTATCCATCCATCCATCCATCCATCCATCGTCTATCCTTATAACCATCCATCCATCCGTCCATCATTCTGTCTATTCTTATAACCATCCATCCATCCGTCAATCATTCTGTCTATCCTTATAACCATCTACCCGTCCACCCAGATGACACCCAGTTGTCATGGTCTCTATCTATCATCTATCGATCTATCGATCCATCCATCCATCCATCCATCCATCCATCCATCCATCCATCCATCCATCCATCCATCCATCCATCCATCCATCGTCTATCCTTATAACCATCCATCCATCATTCTGTCTATTCTTATAACCATCCATCCATCCGTCTATCCTTATAACCATCCATCCATCCGTCCGTCTATCATTCTGTCTATTCTTATAACCATCCATCCATCCATCCATCCGTCCATCATTTTGTCTATTCTTATAACCATCCATCCATCCATCCTTATAACCATCCATCCATCCATCATTCCGTCTGTCATTCTGTCTATTCTTATAACCATATAACAATCTTATAACATCCATCCACCCAGCAGAAACTTGCATTGAAACAATATTACCAAACACACTGTCACAACAGCAACCAAAAACTACTGAATAAATAAATGTTTTGATTTTATCATCTGCAAGGTCAAGGACATTATGAGAAGGTTTGCTTAACATTGAAGAACTGCTTTATATGGAGAGTAAAACACTAACACGTTCAAATATAGAGTCAAACCATCAGAGCTGATGACAGTAGAGTTTGTCTCTCACCTCAGTGGTCTGCTTGCCATTGTAGGACATCTTCTTAATGGCCACCACCTCGTGGGAATAGGAGTTTCGGGCCTGTGGGAAACCAAAACCATTTTTATTGTATACTATTTTTGGCTTTCACTGTTTAGTACTGCTTAAAACAGTAATATTGTGGAATATTATTACAATTGAACTAAATAAAATATTAAATAAATAAAAACTTTTCTATTTTCATAATGTAATATATTCCTGTAATGGAAAAGCTACATTTTCAGCATCATTACTCCAGTCTTCAGTGTCCCATGATCCTTCAGAAATCATTCTAATATGCTGATTCTATGCTCAAGAAACATTTCTTATTTCTATCAAACACAGTTGTGGTGCTGCTGCTTATTTTTGTGGAAACTGAAAAAACAACACCTTTTTTCACCACAAATATGTCACTTTTGATCAATTTAATGTGCTTGTTGAATTAAAGTATTAATTAAAATAAATAAATAACATAATTCTCACTGACCCTAAACTTTTGAACGTGTGTGTTAAGTCAGGAATGCCATTGTTAGTCAATTGTAATCGCCAACAGAAGTCTGTATGGCAGACATGAGTAATCTTAGTCTTTTCTGCAACATGGGGCCAGCTGGTCCTCGCATTTAAACGGACTGAACATCTGTCTTAAGAGCAGCGTCTCCTAGTTATTCTTTCCCCTCGAGACCAGCCCTACATCTGGATGGGCAGTCCGCATGTGAGTGAGTGAGTGTGTGCACGCGAGTCAGTGTATTTGAGAAAAAGAGAGAGAATGAGAGAGAAGGGGGGGATTTGCACGACGGATTCCAGTCTTGCCACAGATTTGGAATCAAAGGCTTTATGCTATAAGTTCCCAGATTAAGAAATGCACAAGAACTTGTCATGAGGCTGCAGTTCTTGTATTTGACAAAACTGCTGCACTGTGGTGCGGTTTCGAAAATGAATTGACGGGCTCCAAGTTTAACTACAGTTAAGAACTGACTGAAGGACAAAAAATAATAAGACAAAAAAAAAGGCTCATCGAGCTTAGGTATTAAAAGCTATTCTGGTCTCTTACGTCTCAACTATGTGCCTTTCGTCTTCTACAGAACTTAGAAAAAAAGAGAAGAAATATTACTATAATGTAGAGAAAATAATTCAGTATTTTAAAATAGTTAAAGGGGACCTATTATGAAAAATTCACTTTTGTAAGGTGTTTGGACATAAATGTGTGTTGGCAGTGTGTGTACACAACCACCCTAGAGTGATAAAAATCCACTCACTCCTTTTTTTTTAAATCCCCATAAATCATAAGCAGTGTCTCCCAATGACCTGTTTTCAGAATGCGGCTTTAGTGACGTCACTAAAGCCACAGGCCCCGCCCACGAGTGTTGACAGACATTGCCGTTTTAACTTAGACCCGCCCTGATCGAGTTCACAGAAAGTTGTACACATCCGCAATTGCTGCACTAATGAGAATGTCTCCCAAGCGTTGAAGGTGTTGTGGCTGGAGGTATTCATTAAAGGTTCTCTAAGCGATGTCGGATGACGTCACTTCTTGTTGACGTTTAAAGTATTGTCAAACAAAACGGAGGCTAGCTAGACCCTCCCTCCTCCTCATCCGCGCACTAACCCCCCAAACCCCGCCCCCAAGTCTTTCTTGTCGGTGATTGGCTGGAAGTGTTTGTCATGTTTCGTGGAGCGGGTTAGCCCAGTTTGTTTTTGTTGCTGTTTGTGGAGCTTGGGCTGTCTACAGAGATCGCGTTTCTTTACAGTGTGTTCAGGGGACAGGCAGCTAGCGGATAGTGAGGAGATGTTTGCTGTATGTGACAAAAAATGTTTTGGCCTAAAAAAGGCTTGACATCGCTTTGGACACCTTTAACATAGCTCTCTCTATTTACTCCTGAAATCTGAGCCACCCGCTGAAGACGAGGTGGGTTCATTTTGTCTTTGAAAAATGCTCCCTCAACTCAACCGAAATTTGTTTATGTACCTACGCACTTCTTATACTGTGTTTACTCAGCTCTTACAGTGATTTTCTGGAGTAAAACTGACGCTTATTCTTTTGTGTGACATACAATAAACCTTATTAAACTCATCAGTATATTTTGTGTCATCATTCAGACATGGTCCTACAGCAGGCTTGTATTAATAGTGGCTACAATCATTGACGCATATATTCTCTGACTCTGTGCATTATTGTCCGAGTCGAAATGAACACCGTTACTGTGAGTTTCTGTTTTGATATCATCTTCTTTCCGTGAGTTGAGATTGTTCACTGAGCGCGAGCTGGTTAGGCTCCGCCCCCTGTGCTGTGAACCAGCAGCTCATTAGCATTTAAAGGAGACACACTAAAACGGTGCGTTTTTCTCAGCCCCAAAAAGTGACGATTTAAACATGCTGTAAAAAATTATCTGTGGGGTATTTTGAGCTAAAACTTCACATACACACTCTGGGGACATCAGAGACTTATTTTACATCTTGTGAAAAGGGGCATAATAGGTCCCCTTTAATAAAAATGAGTTTGAAAAGTACACTGTAGATAAAGGGGAGAGTAATGGATTGAGATGCAAATGATACACTGACATCATCAATGACATCATCATCACATTTTCCCTAATTCTAGTAACAGAGGCAGCTGAAAAAAAGAAATAAAAAATTAGACATTTCCTCAACATTTCTATACTCACAAAGTACACTGCTCCGAAACTCCCATGGCCGATCTCGTGTAGATCGCAGAAGACTTCTTCCGGGTCATCTTTGAAAAAGAGGCTGGCCACATCCGGGTCTTTCACTCCTGCCTTCCGCGTGGACGACGGCATCATGAGTTAGACAGAACCTCTGATGGCGACGTGCTTCTGCTCGCCTTCATTCAGCAGGCCCGGCATTTACCTGCTTTGCCTGCGGACAGAATGGAGAGGATTAAACACTGACTGCTTGTCCATGTCAAGTGAGGGTCATTAGAAGAAAAAGTGACTTAATGATTAGTTAAACCAAAAGTGAAAGTTCTGTCATCATTTACGGTACTTGATTGAGAACTTTTGAATAGATGTTTGAATAAAGACTTGTGCACCATATTCCAAGCATTCTGAAGTTAAACTATTTTTTTTAATGATCATAGGCCAAAATGTTTTTACTTTTTAATATAGAATATTAGCATTCAAGTGTTGCGTACTACAGTAGTTTTGAATGTTTTATAGTGTGTGTGTGTGTGTGTGTTTTTTTTTAATAATTATTATCAGGGGCGTCACTAGGCCCTTTTTAGGGGGGCTTCAGCCAAGCCCCCCTAAAAATGTGAGATTAATGTAGGCTACACAAATTCGTGTTCGCTTCAGTCTTGTTATAATCAGATTCAGCACGTTCTCAATCCACAGCTGCGCCGTGCAGAGAGCACGTCAGAAACAGAGGACAGGGTGTGTGTGTTCATTTGTGTGTTCATCTGAGCCTCATTGGTCTGTCACTGCTCGTCAATGTCAGAGACGACCAATCAAATCAAAGTAGGCGGGCTTTATGTTCACAGACGCTGCTGAGCGCGAATTTTAACAGTGCGAGTGCGACACGACCATTTTTTACAGTCTATGGACTCGACGGTCGGTCAAGTGCGAGATAAGATGTAAGTAGCTAAACTTAACATTTCATATTTTACTTTTTTTAGGTCATAAATGTTAAACGAATGACAAAAAATAATCAGGCAAACTAATATAGTTTTGTCTAATTTCGCCATTTTGAACTGAAAATAGGCCTATACACTCATGTAACTCATGTAATGTAATAATTAGTTTACAAGAAACATTAACAAAGCCGTTTTCATCATGTTAGGCACAAGATTAATAATGAATGTGTACATATTGAGAATATAATACAAATTGTAGCCTTTAGTAAATTAAAAAAGCTCAGCTTTAGGAGGGGAAGAGAAAGGGAGGAAGAGACTGAGAAAAAAAGGAAGAGTGATGGAGATGAGAAGAGAGGAGGTATTGACAAATAATCTGCCCACTGACATGGTTTTAAAGCTATTTCTTATCCTTTTTTTTTGGTCTTCAAACGTCTTGAAATGCACATATCAGAAATAAAAAATTTGAACCCCCTACCAATCTCAAATTTAGGACCTCTGTGATTACAAAGCCCTGTCTACGGCCCTGTATTAGGCATAAGATCAATAATAAATGTGTAGCCTACATATTGTGAATGCATTTAATAAACTTAATTACCTTTAGTAGCTTTCAGTAAATAAACGCGTCTGAGAAAATGATTCATAGGCAAAATCAACCTATCAGTTGACCCTATGTTTACTTTCTTCACTGACAGACAAAAATGAAAAGCCTATATCAGTCAAAGCTCAGCTTTAGGAGGGGAAGAGACAGGGCAAGAGAAAAACAAAGAGAAAAAAAGTGATGCTGCTGATGAGGAGAGAAAAATTGTCAGCTGCCCACTATCCAAGTTTTTTGGCCTTCAGAACATCTTAAAATGCACATATGTAGATCAGAGAAATCAAAATTTTCTCGGGGAGACCCCGAACCCCCCTATTTGCCCTGCCTCACATTTGGGACCACAGTTATTATAAAACCGTGCCTTTGCATCGTAATGAAAATGGTTAATAGTGATCTTTAGATCCTAAACTAAAGTGTTAACTTTTTTTATAATTTGTTTAAAAATCATATTGGGGGCTTAGCCCCCCTAAAATGAAAATCCTAGTGACGCCCCTGATTATTATTCATTTTAGAGCTTGACTGCCCCAGTCCTCATCAACTTGCACCATATTGAGTGACCAGGATATTCATTAGAAACTTTCCTTTTGTGTTACACAGAAGAAAATGTATGGTTTAAATTACATCAAGGTGAGTTAATGATGACAAAACACATATTGTGGTGGTTCGAACACTTTTGGTGTGTGAACCCGCAATCTTTAAATGATCTGTCCAGATCTTTAACTAATATACACCAGCCAATCACACACACAAATATTGAGGTAAACCTAGTACAAATAGCTTGCTATAATTTAAAACATTTAAATAATAATACATAAATATTAACTAAATAATGTAAATAAAAACTAAATAATAATAATGCCCATAGATCACACTCACAAACCTACAGATACGAGTGAGTGTAGAACAATTCTATACTTTTATGCTAAATACCGAAATATGCCCTTCCCATCACAAAGCCTATATAGCTTGTTGTTCCCCGCATGTTTGAGCGTGCACACGTGTTTGCGATGGTAAACTGGTGTGACACAAATGTGTTTTTGTATTGAGGGCAGCTTGGTTAGGCATCATGGGAAGACAGCTCAACGTCTGGCAGCATTGCTCATCATGCTAGCATGTACACACACACACACTGGCCACCTGCATGTAACACTGCCTACTGAGTCATCAGACATCTGACACACAAGCGGCCATTGACCCAGGAACAAAAGGTGCTGAAAGTACTGTGTATCCGATATAGAGACTGAACACATGGGCTAATATCCATCTGTACATTCATTATGAATATGATCAACATTACTGCCCAACTCATGTACTATCAATAAAACACATTCCCCATCAACAAGAACAACTCTGGAGCCAACTTCGGTCGGTCGGTCAGACAGTCGGACGGATGGGTATATGGATGGGAACAGAAAGGTTTGGTGAAATCATGTGATAAGGAAAGATGTTTGAGAGGCGTTTTGCTCAAGTGAAGTGTGCAATTCTGAGGTTCAAACTTGCTGTTTTTTTACTAGCTCTGATCTTAAACCACTCAGCTATACCAGTGCCATGACCAAAAGTGATGAAGGTCATTGCAGGCAGCACTGGACCCAGTGTCATCCTAAACCACAAGAGCAGAAAAGCCTCAAACACAATTACATTTCATGACTGAGGTACTTTCAATCCTCTGACCAAATGAGTGAAATCTTACTACTTCATGCCTTGGGCCATCTAATTATTGAATTAATACGGCAGAAATCAATTAGATTGCGGGTAGCAAAGCTGAAAGGCAGAAGAAGCCTCAACTGGACGTACACGTAAAGCAGATTCTGATTGTGACGGTTAAAGCTTTTAATTGGCATGAAGGTGAATCAGAGTTCACAGTCATCCAATAAAAATATACAGATTTCTGCACAATGCAGTCACAAAACCCATTCGTTCCAGAGCATTTATTGGCTTATGGAGAAAAAGACTTAAACTATAAAGAACATGAACTTTCACACTTCGTTGAGTGGAAGATGGAAGATGCATCCCGTATTGCACAATGTCTGCTCTAGTTTGCCTGTCACTGGTGAGTTCATAATTTTACCTCCCTTAATATCGGGTCAAAAAGAACATGGTATATGTTTATTTATTAATCTTCTTTAAAAGTACTAGAGAGGAACCAACGTTTTGCCTCAAAGTCGTTTCTGGCTGTTTGTTTTAAAACAGATTCTTAAGGCGCTACTGTACAGGGGTTCTTAAAGGCCCTGATATACTTCAAGCTAAATCAAAGGCCTCATGTTTAATACAGTAAAGCTGCTTGATTTTAAGCAATCTATTGTATAAAATGCTACATAAATAAAAGTGATGTGACTTTACTAGAGTGCCGAATTGCAGAGCTGGTGCAAACATATCAATGTTGCTATGACCTCAGGCTTCAATAGCAACAGGAGTTGACGCGAGTCAGCCGACGTTACATGCTGTGCAACACACATGCCATTCCTACAGTCTTTCCTTAGAGCAAGTACGACTACGAGTTACTACAGTAAATGCGGCTTCATTGAACCCTTGCATAATGGACGTGTGTAAACACTTAAAGTTATGGTTCAAACATTCAAATTCTGATATTATTTACACATCCACATGTCGGTATGATGTTTAGAATAAAAATTAAAACACAGTAACTAGGTTTCCATCTGCATATTCTTCTGAATTTTTGGGGATAATTGCATCACAAAAATCGATGGAAATAGCGAGATGCTATTTAAATTTCCAAAATTAAATTGGGTGGAAACATTTTGAAACTGTTTCAAAATGTACATCCAGCATATGTATGTGTTAAAGACGGCGTGAAATAAAAAAAAAAAAATCACCAATCTCAACATTCACAAAATTCACATCTATTTAGTAAATGCATCTTATAGATCTTATTGCAAAAGATTCATCATTTATATTACAATTATGTAATGTCATAACTCTCGATCTTCCGGTGGAAACAACTTCTATTTGGTGACTCAACTGCAAACACGCATACTCGCATACATTTTTGTGTGCAATTCCCACTTCTTAAAATCCAATCAACAACTAGGTAATGGATAGAATCAATTCCTCAAGCAAGCCTATATTTTTTTGTAAAAACTGTTACACTCACAATACAGAAGAAAAGATCTGTCACTAGGGGTGTAACAATACCCACATGTCACGATTCGATACATATCATGATATTGAGCTCACAATGCGATATTATTGCGATACTCCAAGTGTAGCGGTCACCAGCTGGAGTGCCCTTGAGAGCCACCAGAGTGCACTCCACATCAGACTATTGTCATTCCCTCACAAACTACATCTCCTGTAATTCTCTGCCTAGACTCATCACATCCACCTGTATGTCATTACCTTACCCCATATAAGGATGCGTTTACACTTGGCATTAACATGCGACCTGTATCTGGATGTTGTCCACATACACATTGAAAAGACAAGTGTAAACGCACATCTGATCGGAATGTTATCCGATCAGCGTGTCCCGGTTCGGAGGTAGTCGAGGACGCATTGTGATCGGATCTCAGTGTAATGTAAACGCAATCCTGCCAACGTGTCTGCATTCACAGGTGAACGTAATTTAAATCCCCGCCCAGTCTCCCCGCGTGGCTGTCAGAAAGTAATGGCCAGACGCAGTTTAGACACAAAATTAAACTTATCTGAACAATAAACGTTAATCTTTAAAACA